CGCGCTGTAGTAGGTGCAGAGAGACTGGCCATAACTCGCGTACGTGCAAGAAAGATACTCTAGGTACTGCTTAATCTATTATGTTAATATGTAGTAAAACAACTATATTGTGGTGGAACTACAGGCTTATAGAGGTGCGCAGGTTTGGTGGGGTGCGGCGCTCGCTTGCCACATACGTTAATTGAATTTCAGTCCCTTCTACAGTAAAGGAGGGGGACAGCTACGTTGTTCAGACTCGTTACTTTTCTACATGTATTTCGATAAATGGTTCTAACATGTTAATGGGGAATCTCAGGGTGTTCGCGGCAGAGATCAGTAGCTGTACGTACTGTACGAAGGAAATCGTGGTTCAGAGTAATTTAGGAAGAATTGAAGAATATATTCGTCGAATTTTGAGTCGAGAAATGTAAGTAAGCGAGTTGGTTCAATTTACTAGTTACTTACATGCATCGCAATGGTCCAATCGCACTCATCAAATTCTGAGTCGTACATATGTATTCTGTAGAGTTATCAAGATATGCAGCCTGATCTATCGTGAATAATGATCCAAAATCTAGGCTTAACTTTCTCTGAGATACTAAGTACTTCCATATATATATTGACACGTAAGGTGGTAAGCAACGAAAATACCACACCTTTCCCCAGTCTCGTCCAAATTCCCTATAATAAATATGCCGCACGTCCAGCCAAGAAATCTCAACATCTCTCTGCTGCTGCCGCAGCTGTAAAACAGGCAAAACGACTTTATTCTAGAACCGCCATCAAACTAAGAAAAAGTTTTTTTGATTTAGAAATATATATATACACACTGAAACGAAGATATCCTGCATGCAAACCACAAGAAGCCAAGTATACTAAACCCAAATCTCGCCACCAAAAAAAAAGACGGCTTACAAATCACGCGAATCCATTTCTACGTACAACAACCACAACTGATCCCCCCTTTATCCTCATGCCAATGTAAAACCTCACCATGCCTACCTTCCAAGCCAACGACGGCATCACACTGCACTACACAACGCACGGGTCGCGCACCGCGCCACCCCTGATTCTAGTGAGCCCCCCCCCCCCCCAATTCCCCCTCGCACCCACCACTACCATCTAACCCGTGACTCTGCACCACCAGCTCCACGGCTTCACAGGCTCGTCGGCCGTCTTCAAGCACAACATAGACGCGCTCGCGCAGCACCACCACGTCATCGTGCCGGACCTGCGTGGCCACGGGTCGTCTCAGAAGCCGCAGGCGGGGTACCATGTATCGCGGCTTGCCGTTGATGTGCGGAATCTGCTTTCGCATTTCCGCCTCACAGACAGCAGCAATGTGAGGGCGATTGGAACGAGTCTGGGCGCAGCCATCCTGTGGAGCTACAGCGAGTTGTTTTCAACTAGCGTCTTCTCGCATCTCGTGTTTGTCGACCAGGCGCCGCTGCAGAATTACCTGGACGACTGGGGTCCTGAGGTGGGGAATCGCGGGTGTAATTCTACTGAATCACTGCGCGAAATGCAAAGGTCTTTGATTAGCCAGCCTGAACACGCGCATCGCGGCACCATTGCCGCGTGTCTGGGATACAGGTCGCATCCGCGGCCTGGGGATCCAACGGCCGAGTCGCAGGTTTGGCAGGAGGATGAAGAGTTCTTTTTGAGAGAGGCGATGAGGGGCGAGGGGTGGTGGTATGGGAAGCTGATGGCGGATCATACGGCGAATGACTGGCGGTACAGCATTGCGCAGAATCTTGGGCCGGAGAGCGGGAGCGCTGCGAGGGTGTTGGTGGTGGCGAGTTGCAGGAGTGGGTGTTTTCCTGCTGCTGGGCCGCTCAAAGTGGCTGAGCTGGTGAATGGAGGAAAAGAGGACGGACGTGCCACGGCTGTGACGGTGGAGTGGGGTGGTCACTGGTGTTACTGGGAGAAACCGGAGCTGTTTAATAAGCTTGTGCTTGAGTTTTTGCAGTAATCACCTGTATTATCACTTCTGCTTGGACTTGGAAGACTACCTAAGACCTGGCTTTCCGCTACGAAAATCATGTCTACGAGTGCCAGACTGGATCTGCACCCTAGCTCTTTCGAAGCAGCCAGCCTTCTACGATTTTCCATGAAACCCAAGAACAAGTAGCATTCTCTACCACACCAACACACTTGACTACGCCCAGTACTCCTTTATCCACTTTCCCACTCTCTCAGCCATACCAACAGCCTCCTTCTCAAAGCCCAGCGTATTACCCAGCAGTATGATATCATGAGGCACGTTGTCCTCAATATCCAACTCAACATTATTACCCGCTTTCTTCATCTGCTCAGCCCACTCGACATCGTCAAAGTACAGTATCTCGGCACCTCCCGTGTTGATCCAGATGGGAACTTGGGTCTTGAACATGCTATTCTTGTGGCAGACATAGGGTTGCGACAAGACTGATTCGCCAGCTGGCCCCGCATACGCTTCTGTAGCCCAGACGGTAAAAGGCGGGGAGAGATAGTCGGACATGTAGTTTCTGTTGGTGCGCGCATATTCGGCCTTGTTATCCGACGTGTCGATCCACGGGGACCAAAGAAGGCCAGCCGCGGGGCTGGGGAGTCCAGCTTCGGCACCGAATTCGGCAATGTAACGCAGCAGAGAGATGGTGAGGTTGCCGCCAGCAGAGTCGCCCGAGACAATGATGTTCTCGGCAGGGACTTTGAGGTCATGGACGAGATAGAGGTACGAAGTCACTACGTCCTGCAGGCCGGCCGGAAACGGGTCCGATGACGACGAAACAGGCAATTTTGCCAGGCGGTACTGCGGGCAAAACACATGCGTTGCGGGCGTGTGCTTGAGGAACAAGCTCGTTAGGAATCCCGTGGCGCCAGACCTTCCGTCGCCATGAACAAATGCGCCGCCGTGCGTATGCAGAATCACCTTGACGTTGCTTTTGTCACTGCCCGGCGTCAAGGGCGCGGGATACCACGTGCCGCCAATTTCGGCTGGCACCACGTCCTTACTGTTCCTCAGCGGGCCCTTGTACGCCTCATCCTTTCCTGGCTTGACCAGCACGAACCGCTCTTTTTCTGCACCGGGGGTGAGCGGAAGCGGCTCTTGAAGCTGCAGCGTGGCAACGTGCCAGAGAGCCGAGGCTAAGAAGCGCACGCCGATGGCCTGGCGGAACGACCACGTCGGGTTCTGGCGACGCGAGGCAACGAGATAAGCGACGACAAAGTAGGGGAAACGTAGGAGCTCGAATCCAACGGCTCCGAGTGCATATATGCCCTTCCAGGGCTGCTGCGTGAGCTTGACCATTTACGGCTGAAGTAGGAGAAGCCCGGTTTTGCCACGTGAGAGTGATTGAGAGAGAGAGAGAGAGAGAGAGAGAAACGGGTGAGTATGCGAGAGAGTGAAAGACCTGCTATCACAAAAATGGTGTTAACGAAAAAACAAAAGGGATGGGAGGGAAGGGAAGTCCCGGTGTCAAAGCTGTGGCGGGTGGGGAGGGAAATACCTCGAATATGTAGTCAGACAGACGCTCCCCTCCCCCCCTCTCCCGCTCTGAATTTGGCTGTGATGACAATGGCGGCAGTTCAGACGCTTAGCGCGTGCGCGTTCAGACACTGACGCAACGCAAGCGAAACTTTGTTGCAAGCAAGAACCCCAACGCATGCACGTGACGCTGTAACCTCGGCTTCGGCTTTTTTTGGGTTCGTGAATTGGACCCAAGGAATCCGAGTAACAATCACACGGGGGTTTTTTTCATGGTGTTGTTTTGTGCTGCTTACCGAGTCTTGAGTAGTAACAAGTAATAAATAAGTAAGTGCTTAGTGGGGTCGATGCTGTGTTCTGATGTGCACGTGTACTTGAGCATGTGAAGCAAGGAATGTACATGGTAATGTATGCATGTACGTACTCTACTGCATTGGGAAGTCCGTTGCATCAGCCACATTGAAATCATTCATACATAAAACAAGTGATACAATAACATGCAAATGCCGAATCCTCCATCTTGTACTCAGCCAAACCACAATGTGTGCTTTTTTACTCGCAGCACAACAAGTGGCCCCCCAAATAAACTTGCCCTCTCTTTCACCCTGCCCAACATCACCATTGCCGTGACACCATCCGTGGTTTTACACGACACAAGCGATTCCAATGGACCCTTGCTGCACGTATACCATACTTACCAGTCCACACTAGTGCCAGCATAACCACAGCTGCTACGTATGCGCCCATCGTTATGCCCCCACGCTACTTGTATTTAAAGCAGGGACAGACGTTAAATGCATTCCAGACATGTATACAAAAGTCCAGTCTAACCGCAAGCAGCCCTGGAAGAAAAGAGCCAACTGCACGTCTACTTATTAGGGTCCCAGCCCAACAAAGACGCATATTTACTGCAGAACTTGAATAGGCTAGGCGAGGGTGCTATCAGCGGGTTCGGTTGAATTGACAATACAATATAAACCCCTGGTCCATACTTATTCAAGTACTCAAGTACGTACGTACGCCTGTTTTATCTTGGGTTGCCGACATGTGCCAAACCATGTACTTATGTAACTGTGTGAAAACCCCCCCCTTGGTGAGCTTGTGAAAGAAGACCCGATATTCGTATTGAGAAGTTTTTTTTTTTTTTTTTTTTTTTTTTTTTTTTACATACAGAGTCTGGAAAACAAGCATTTTCACATTCATCCGAATAAAAATACATAGTTCGGAGAGCTGCGTGTGGTGGTGGTGGTCTCTCCGAGCCAGCAGCCTAGCGCGCGATTACGGTGCTCAGCAAGATGCATTGATATAAAAAGTGGACATGTCGCATGGGGGATTCAGACAACGACGTTTGAATTTTTTTTGCCCTAGTTTTCTATTTCGTTCTACAGAGTCCAAGATCGCTCGCTGGGGCTCTACACACACACACACACACACACACACATCATCTTACTAACATACACAGTCGATGCACTCATCCATACATTCATTCACCCACACCTCAAAACGCCAATCGCCAGGATCCCCACTTCGCTCATTACAACTTCGCCGGCAGTCTTCCGCTCTTCTGCGCGGTATACGTGGCAATAAGGTCCATGAGCTGCGGACTCAGCACATCATACGTCTGGAGGCCGACGGTCCTAAACTTTTCCCTTACTGCCTCCATGCCCGCCGGATTGAACCCCTGCTCAATGATACTGCTTACAAAGGCGGCGAACTGCGGCTCCTGCCATCCAGAGGTATTGCTGAGTTCGGTGTGGACAAAGTCGAGGCCCTTGAAGGGATGCTCGGTTTCGATGCGGCCGAAGAGGTGCACGCCGCACTGCTTGCATGCGTTGCGCTGGATGGCGGCCGATGCGTCGATGATGTGCAGTTTGCTGGCGTTTGCGGTAACGGCTACGTTTTCCCTGGGTACCACACCGACAACCGAGAAGAGGGCGCCTTGCGGCTTCCAGCATTTGGAGCATCCGCATGCGTGGTTGTGCGCGACGTTGCTGGATAGTGTGACTTCGACTTTGTCCGACGCGCAGTGGCAGTACAGCTTGCCGCCGGGGAAGTTGGGCACGCCCTTTTTAATGCCCTTGTCGATTGCGGGGTGGATGCTAACCATGATGAAGATGTTCTAATCAAAGCTATAGTTTTTTTTCT